ACTCCAGGATCACGACCTGAGCCGAAGGCAGTCGCTTAACCAACTGAGCCACCCAGGCGCCCGATTATATTTTCTATATACTTACATGTTTTTTCCTGCAGTAAACTGCAGCCATCATGTCTCTTCAGCTCTAAATATGTCAGTGTATAATTTCTAAGAATGATTATCTTACTAACCATAATGCAATGATCCAAATCAGGAAATTTAACATTGACACACCATCATCATCTAATCTATGGACTTTATTCAAAGGTTTTGATAATATCCTTCATAGCAATTTTACCACCGTCCCCCTCAGGCCAGGATCCAATCCAGGATCACCCAGGATCATATGTTAGGTTTATTGTCATGCCTCTTCAGCCTCTGTCTTTTAGGATACTGACATTTTTTAAAGGTATAGGCCAGGTACTTGATAGAATGCCCTCAGCTTGGGTTTATCACAGATGTTCCTTCATGATTACATTGAGGCTACGCATTTTGACAGGCATAATTCTTAGGGAGTATTATGTTCTTCTCAGTGCATGACGCCAAGAGACAAATAATGTTAATGTGTCGTATTACTGGTGATGTTAACATCTAATACTTGGTTAAGGTGATAAACACCAGGTCCTGACACTGTAAAGTTACTATTTTTTCCACTGTAATTAGTAATTTGTGAAAGGAAACTCTGAGACTATTTAAATGTCCTGTTCCTTATCAAACTTTCACCTGCTAGTCATTTTAGCATTCACTGATGACTCTTGCCTGAATCAATGATAACTATGATTTATGTGTATATATGTATTATTTGATGAGTTATAATCTACTACTATAACCACCTTTTTTACCGCTCAAATTATCTCAAATTTGGTGACTGGAAGCCCTTTCAAACTATGCGGGTCCTTGACATAACCCACCATTTTTTTAGCACTCCCTTGCTTTCTGGCCTAAGATGTTCATGTTCATCTTGTACTTTTCCTTGACCCACCTGGAATCAGTTATTTCTCCAAAGAGTTCTGCTTCCTTTTAGTCTAATGACATTAAGTAACCAAAGGGTACTAAGTGTCCTTTGCATCTACTCTGACTTGAAGGAAATTAGGGTATTTAATCAGAAACTCCGTTAGTGTTGAGAAAGCGTGACTCACACATAGTAGATGCTCAATAAACACTTTCTGAATAAATAAATGAAATGAGTAAGTCAAGGGAGAAGGACTCTGTGTTCTTCAAGACCAAACTTTGTTAAGTCTGGAGACAGGAGGCTGAGGCCAGGAAACTACATTTCAAGAGAAACAAGAAAGATAAATCCTGGGGCAGAGAAGGTGTCCTATTTCAGCCACTGGAAGAGAGGAGAAAAGGTCCATCTGAGAAGGAAAGTTGTTGGAAAATAAGAGGAAGGACAGTTGGTGTCATCACTAAATATAAGTAAATGTAAGTCATATAAGTAATTTATCAGTAAATATAAGACTGCTAAATACAAAGCACAGAATTCTAACCCTGGAAATAAGTAAATCTCAGCTGAGGACACAACAGGCTGAGAAGAAAACCGGTCTTTTTTGAAAGGAGGGCCATCTACAGCACTAAAAATGAGCTGTTATTTAGGAACAATTTTATAAAAGATGAGGAGGTTGGACTTTCCCAAGAAGAATCCTTAGTTCCTAGCCCCACAGCCATATGTAAAAACCAGTATTATCTTTTTTTTTTTTTTAAAGATTTATTTTGAGAGAGAGCGTGCACACGCACACAGGGAAGGGGGAAAGGAGAGAATCCTCAAGCAGACTCCATGCTGAGTGCAGAGCCCAACACTAGGCTTGATCTCATGACCCCAAGATCACGACCTGAGCCAAAATCAAGAGTCAGACACTAAACCAACCGAGCCACCCATAAAACAGTATTATATTTCTGATTACAAAGACAATGGGGCTAATAAATTCAAAGCTATTTTCAAGTAATCCACAGTCTGTGACCAAAAATCATGGAATTGACTCTAGAGGTTCCCTGTTTTAAGTACAAAGAATGTATTTAGACAATGCCCAAAAAAAAGAATGAGGTAGATCTATATGGAGGGATATGAAAATATCAAGTTTCAGGGCGCCCGGGTGGCTCAGATGGTTAAGTGTCTGCCTTCAGCTCAGGTCATGATCCCAGGGTCCTGGGATCGAGCCCCACATCGGGCTCCTGGCTCAGCGGGGAGCCTGCTTCTCCCTCTTCCTCTCCCCCTGCCCATGCTCGCTCTATCTCTGTGTCTCAAATGAATAAAATCTTTAAAAAAAAATCAAGTTTCTATGCACTGTTGCATGACCTCTTTTTGTTAAAGATAAAAAACTGTTTAATTGTATGGATTAATACTTGCATTTATATGCACAGAAAAAGACTAAGGTATGATATACCCCGAGTTCACCTCAGGAACCAGAATAAGGAGAAAGAGAACTTGCATTTTTACTTTTACATGATCTGTATTGCTTTAATAGTACTCTTTGTTATAAAATATTTCCAAATAAAAAAAAGAGAATGAATGTGCTGCTTCTTCCTCTTCTGTCTTCCTCACATCTACCAATCTTCAATGATCAAAGTTGGATTTCATCCTCTTACCGTAACAGAACCTTCAACTCAAAATGATGTGCATCACAGCCCTATCTTTACAAACCTATCCTTTAATAATTTATTCAAATACCCTTTTCTATACAAATAATAGATCCCCAATGAAGACAGTCCACAATATGCATGTCTGAAGAGGTCAGGAACATTCTAGGTGGGACAATCTTACACTACAACTTTTGAAGAAACTCAAAAGAACTCAAAAGTTCTTTGATCAAGCTTTCGTGGTGCGAGCCAAGCTACTCATGCTGTTTGACAAAGTCCAAGTATGGGGGACGATCCTGAAAACAGGAGACTCCACAGCTGGCTCCTGCTATTCTCTTTCATTTCGTTCATGGCAATATTTATAATTGTGGGAATATTTCTGGGCTGGCTCCTGCTATTCTTTTTCATTTTATTTATGGCAATCTTTATAATTGTGGGACTATTTCTGGGGTTTTATGATAAAGTGACTACTCATCTTAGTTACGCCTATCTAAGCAATCATAATGAAACTAATTCCACGAAGAATTACTTTTTTTTTTTTTAAGATTTTATTTTTATTTATTTGACAGAGAGAGACACAGCAAGAGAGGGAACACAAGCAGGGGGAGTGGGAGAGGGAGAAGCAGGCTTCCCATAGAGTAGGGAGCCTGATGCGGGGCTCGATCCCAGGACCCTGGGATCATGACCTGAGCCGAAGGCAGATGCTTAACGACTGAGCCACCCAGGTGCCCCACGAAGAATTAGTTTCTATAGAACAAAATAACAAAATGGTCACGCTCTGTCTAGCACCTTTCTCTTTGCGTACTGTTTTTTAGTTTTAGCGAAAGCCAATAAGCAGAAATCAATAAAGGTCATGTTAATCATTACAAAGGAAAAATGAAAGAAGGCTATGGCTGTAATCCAGAAAATGATCTAAGATTTGGAAAAACAAAAATATCCTAACATATAAATAAAGTTCCTCCGAGCCTGTCAGCAGGAGATGCTTGCAACCTGATCCTGTGTCTGTGTCTCCTCATTCGCCGACGCCGTCCTTTCCTACGAGAGACCCACCCCGGCTGGAGCTGGACTCCGGCACTTTCGTACTTACCTTTTTTATTGGTTGTGAAGTACTTGGAGTCAGTCATGGTTTTGGATCTTTAATGTGCACCTACAACAAAAGAAAAAAAAATTCCTTTGTCCAAATTATTGATGTCCAGCAAGGCATTTGATTAATTTTAAGAACATTTATAAGAATTTCTGTACTCGGGGAGCCTGGGTGGCTCAGTTGTTAAGCGTCTGCCTTCGGCTCAGGTCATGATCCCAGGGTCCTGGGATCGAGCCCCACATTGGGCTCCCTGCTCAGTGGGAAGCCTGCTTCTCCCTCTCCCACTCCCCCTGCTTGTGTTCCCTCTCTCACTGTGTCTCTGTCAAATAAATAAATAAAATCTTAAAAAAAAAAGAATTTCTGTACTCAAAAATGAATATTTTCTTCCTTACCACAATTACTGGTGATTCAAGAGATGCAAAGATAATAATTAAGAATGTTAACTCTTGCCTCAAGGAACTAACTAGGGCAAAATCCATAGGCTAAATGGAATGAATGGATAATCTATTACGGCCTTGTGATTTCATCCATAATTGTCTCCTCACAGCCTCCAAGACCTAAAGCTAGACATTTCTGCAAATACATCTTCAATGAGGCGCTCAAATATTTAGGATAAGAAGAAGTTTGTTTTGAAAGATTTCCCCATTACTTTCTGTTCAGGAAAATCTGATTTACTCCCTACCTCAAGATGAAGTCATTCTAAAGCATGTATCCTGAAGCAATGATAAGGTTGAAAGAGAAAACAACTGCGCCAACCTATTCACCATTACATGAAACTCTTGAAAAAAGGAATCTCTCTCAGAATAAAAAGCCTACATTAATAGGACAATATTCTTTCACAACAAATATCTAGAGGCAAACATGCCTCGCACATGGATTTTTTAATTATAGTTTTCATATTTCCAACAATTTATACTTAGCCCAAAAGTATTCACAAAGAATAAATAATATCACTTTACAGTTAAAAACAAGGCAAAAAAAGAGATATTTATTCAGTCACATTGCATACAAAAGAAAATCAGAACTGGCATTAAAACTTAAAAGATCATGGATCCCAGCCTCAAGTTAATGCTTCAAGTTAATTGGAAAATTAATCCGACACATGGTTCCACTAGTGAAACAAAAATGGCATGGACTGGTCACATTTCTCCCCCAAATAATGAGACAATGTCTTCTGATTTAAGAAACTCTTAAGACTTTGTCCAAGGTACTTGATATCTTTAATTGTATTAAAATTTTCATTTAATAATATTCCTTCTGCACTCAAAAATGTATCTTCTTCCTCACCATCCTCATTAACAATACTTATTACCAAATTTAGGACTGATGCCTGGCACCTGCTCATTACAGTCAGGACAAAACAACATGAGTGATAATACATTTGGCAAACAGTAAATATGGATCACAGAGAAAAGACCTAAGCAATAAACACATCAATGCAATTAGGAGAAAGAAAAAGAGCCAAATAAACATGAAATAATAAAAAAAGCCTGGCTCAAATCTGATCTCTACAATGTGCTACTTGGATAGCCTAAGGGAAATTAGACTCAGCTGAGATCTTCCCAAGTAGCTATATTTACAGTCCTGATCCCAATGTAAGAGTGCTTTAGGTTGTGCCAGAATTTCACTGAATTATTTTCTTAAAAGATGTGAGCTAGAATTCACAAATATTATACAGAAATTCCTGTTTTGATAGTTGTTATAATTAAAAATTAACCTGTGACAGGGGCTTGCCTTATGCAATATTTTCATAATGCCTTTCTAGCAAAAATTCAAAGAATGTTATAATCATTTAATCCATTCACAATGTACGCTAAATGTGAAATGGGCAAATTGAAGAAAGGAGTCCTTCATGTATAAGATCTGGAATAAGTCCGAAGCTATCATGTAAGAACTTACACATACAGAGAGAAACCGGTATGCAGAAATGATTACTAGAACCTGACAGGAGAGCCATAGCTCAAGGCCATTATGGTCTGTCTAGGATGTTATTATGCCATTTTAAGTCCAACAGAATCCTCACAACTTAAAACTTACTTAGGATTTAAAAACAAAATCTGCTTGGAATTTTTCACCCAGTTTCTTTGAAAAAGGGCACAAAAATTGTTCTGTTTGCTAAAGATCTCATACACATATACACATATTATTCTTAACAGGAGTCTAAACCACAGTCTGTTAAACATAAAATTAACCCAGTCTTAAATTCTACCTTTATTAGTGACCCACACATTTCACTATCTCCCTTAAACTTCATTGTCGAGGAATGTATTTCTGTCCTATTCATTGTGAGCACTGTGTTCTTAACTAAAGAATAATGTACCCACCCACAAAATTTCAGGGAAGAGAAACAAGTAATCTTAGCTCCTAAATTAAGAATCCCTGCTCTTTTTTTTTTAAGATTTAATTTATTTGACAGAGCGAGAGAGCGAAAGCAGGAACACAAGCAGGGCGAGTGGGAGAGGGAGAAGCAGGCTTCCTGCCAAGCAGGGAGCCCAATGTGGGGCTCGATCCCAGGACCCTGGGACCATGACCCAAGCCAAAGGCAGATGCCCAACGACTGAGCCACCCAGGCGCCCCAAGAATCCCTGCTCTTAAAGAAAGGGAAAAACCTATCACTCTTAGCTTCCACTGTTGTAAACAATAGTAATAAACTATCCCTTACCCCACTGACAGGGAAACATTGTATTAAATCAGTTCCTGCCTTAAACCCAAAGAAAATTCTAAGAAAAATGAAAATGGTCTAAACAAAAACAAGTGGGAAGAGGTGGTAGTTGCACAACACTGTAAATGTGCTAAATGTAACTGAACTGTTAACTTTAAAATGGTTAATTTTATGTTATGTGAATTACACTTCAAAAAATTACATAGGGGGCGCCTGGGTGGCTCAGTTAAGCGTCTGCCTTAGCTTCAGGTCATGATCCCAGGGTCCTGGATGAAGCCTTGCATAGGGCTCCTTGCTCAGCGGGGAGTCTGTTTCCTCCTTCTCCCTCTGCCCCTTCCCCCTACTCGTGCTCTCTCTCTAATAAATAAATCTTTTTAAAAATTACATTTGTATTTTTTTAATGAGATAAATCACATGCCAAAGATGAACATAACCAGGTTCTCCAAAATACAGGATGGTGAAAACTGTGGCCTGCATTAGAAGCCAAAGGAAAAGCAGCCAAGATAGAGCTGAAAAAAATAAAAAGTCAAATATTCGCTGAAGAGCCTCAAAAACCAAGCTCCTCCTGGAAAAAATTTTTTTGTTCCTACAGGAGAACCCCAGGAAAAAGTAAAGCCATCATGGAGTTTGAACTCACACCACCTTTCCACCAGATCAAACTAGAAAAGTCACTGACTATTCTAGGACCTACAGTGTGGCCTCAGAATACCGCTAAACGATGAAGCACGCACGCACTCTTACTTGTCCTAGCCCGGTGTGCGATGTCACTGCATTTTTCAGAGAAAGCCTCCCTGCACAGGATGATATATCTGGATTTAACATAACCTAGTTTCTACCAAATATAGGTTGTGAAAGAACCTTCTCTTCTATTCCTCCCTCCTTACAGTGCCCCTAAAGAAAATAAGGCCAAAAAAAAATTAATAGGGTCTCAATTTCAAATGGCTCTCCGGGAAATGGCAGATAAATTAGACTTGGTGAGGCCATTAAATCCCTTCTTTTCACACAAAGTTGGCTTTACACAGTCTGGTGCTCGTAGCGAAAAAGTGGCTAGAGTTAACCCAATTATAGAGCAGAAAGGCCATTCAGACATCTTTTATTAAAAGGGTGAGAGGCACTGAGATTTCAGATTTTTTTTTTAAAGATTTTATTTATTTGACAGAGAGCACGCGCACAAGCAGGGGGAGGAAAGGGAGAAGCAGGCTCTCGGCTGAGCAGGGAGCCCCACACGGGGCTCGATCCCAGGACCCTTAGATCATGACCTGAGCCGAAGGCAGACACTTAACCAATGAGCCACCCAGGCGCCCTTCAAATATTTCAATAATTAGATATTTCAATGCAAAGATAATAGTGTCTTCCATTATCATTTAGCTCATAAGAAATCACAAGACACCTAATTGCAACAGACACACCTGTGATTTTTTTTTAAGATTTTATTTTAGAGGGTGTGGTGAGCAGCAGCAGAGGGACAGGGACAAGCAGACACTGTGCTGAGCTCAGAACCCTACATGGGGCTCCATCCCATTACCCTGAGATCATGATCTGAGCAGAAATCAAGAGGTGGAGGCTCAAATGACTGAGCCACCCAGGCGCCCCCACACCTGTGATTTCTATTTATGTCAGACTACAAAGTAATTTGTTAATATTATATAGTAAGAAAGAAGTTCAAAGTTTTACATCCAATTTTTTTTTAAAGATTTTATTTATTTATTTGTGAGAGAGAATGAGAGACAGAGAGCACGAGAGGGAAGAGGGCAGAGGGGGAAGCAGACCCCCCGCTGAGCAGGGAGCCCGATGTGGGACTCGATCCCGGGACTCCAGGATCATGACCTGAGCCGAAGGCAGTCGCTTAACCAACTGAGCCACCCAGGCGCCCGACATCCAATTTTTTAAAAAGATTTTAAGAGAGAGAGAGAAAAAATGAGCGGGGGAAGGAGCACAGGGACAAGGAAACTCCCACTGACCATGGAGCCAGACACGGGGCTCTATCCCAGGACCCCGAGACCATGACCTGAGCCAAAGTCAGACGCCCAACCCACTGAGCCACCCAGACACCCCTAAAATGTAATATTTTTAAATATGGATGTTTAAGGGGGGGGGGAGATGAAGAACCAGGTTTTCTTGAGTCTCTTAACTCACAGAATGTTAGCTTTGTGTTAATTTTACCACTCAACTTTCAGTGAGGCTGTTTGCAGAACACAATCCTTTCTGCTTCCTTGGGAGTTCAAACTGTTAAAATACCTGCAAACAGTTCTCTCACCTTACCACCACGCTTAGTCATCATTGGAATGTTACACGTTTTCTTGTACAGCTGCATCTCCTTCATCTGCTGCTTTCTATTATTACTCTGTAAGTATACCCTGAGGCTAAGCAATACAGGCATACCAGAAAGGTAATTAAGCATTTAAATTGTTCCTCATTCAGACCACTTTCTTGATCATCCCGACTTTTCTAAACTTACTGCATTTTACTTTTTTTAAATCACAATGATTATCATAACAGCATCTGGCATTTAAAACACACTTCTTTTAAAAATCAAAGCTTAATGAAGCATCAACACTTTATCCACACTGCTTCATAATGAAACAGCCAAGTGAGTTCAATAAAAGCCTCCCCCCAGGTAGAAGACGGCTCTGAAAACAGCATGAATTAATTCTTTGGATTCAAAGAATATGGAAATAACAGGACATTTCAGTTTCTTTACCTCTGGTTTAGTCTACAGCCTTTCTCAAACCAGATCATTCCTGCTAAGCCCAGAAAGAAAAAATTCGGGGCTAAGATGTACCCCTACTTGCTCCCCCCACCCCACCCCCACATCGGGTCTGAAGGTTTCTTTTCCCTTCCCCCAAGGGTCAGGAATGCCTCCTCCGCCCCGGGTGGTCGAGATTCTAGGGATATATTCTTCCATTACGAGGTGGGAGAGAGGTGTCGCTTAACCTCAAATTACGGGAGACGGGCGAGTTTTGCCCATCAATGGACAAACCTGAGGGGGAAACCCTTTGCCCTTCTGCTTAGCTGGACATGTCCCAGCCTCTGAGTGAACGACGCCAAGCGGGGAAGAAGGAAGGTTCTCCCGTTTGGCCTCCAACCTCTACTGGCCACACCCCTGGCCTCTGGCCCCAATCCCCAACCTCAAACATCTTACCTCTGGTGCCCCCCCAATTCCCAGCTGCCACACCCGAGAATTCCCTCGCCACGCCACAGCGGTGGAGTCCTTTTCTCCAGCCCTCTTCCTCACAACGGTCACACCCGACGGCTCACATCATCCTCAACGGTCACGCTCCTAGGATTTCTTCTTCCCCCCACCAACCTCCAACTCAACCTGGGGTCCCCTTCCCATCAATGAGGGACACACCCCGAAGTTAGCCGCCTTGAACTCACCGGAGGCAAGGGTGGGGGTGGCGGCAGCAGCCAGAGAGCACGGCCCGAGTGGTGTTGTAATGGTTTCCTGCACGTCACGACTCCTTCTCCAGGTCTAAGCCACTGCGCAAAACCCACTTTGCCAGGGACAAAGATGGTGGACAGGAAACTCTGACGTCAGAGAACCTCGCCGCGTCGCGTCATCCCCGGGCGCGGGAGAACTAGAAAGGCGGCTGTTTTTGCCGCCTTGGAGACGGACAGGTTGGTTTTTTTTGTCTTTTGTGGTTTTTTTTTTTTTGCTTGGAAGCTGGCAACTGGACCCAAGAGGAAGTTCACTGACTATGCAGAGGGATATATTAAACAAACTGACGTTCTCTAGATTTGTTTCCTCGCACAGGAGTTCCCTAAGAACTCTCACATAGACAGGATGAAATATCCTGTTCCTTTTATTAAAAAAAAAAGTGTAAAAGCTCAGCTAATTTTGCAGGCCAGTTCAGGACTGTGGACAATGGTGATCCAGCCCAGGACTATCCATGGGCAGTGGGACCAGGGGAAAGTGGTGCAAGGAAAACATGTTGAGAGGGCATCAGATCTGAGTCCAAATCCCTGCCTTGAATATGACTGGGAAATCACTTAACATCTCCTTAACCTTAGTCTTATCTGTGAAATGAAGCCAATGATCTAACTCTCTCTGGCTTGTGAAGTTTAAATGGGATAATGTAGGTAAAGCACCCGACTTATAACAGGAGTGCTTACACAAAAGTTACTTTTGGAAACCAAGACCTAGAAATCTCTTATCTCTCCCTCAATTTTGCTGTGAACCTAAAACTGCTCTACAAATAGTAAGTCTTTAAAAAAATAAAAATGTGGAGAGCGAGAGAGCCTGAGGCAGAAGTTGAGGAAACCAAAATGCAAAGGGAACTACAAAGTAGAAAGGGGGAAGGAAAAGCAAGTGGTTATAATGTTTTAGTATGTTTTTAGAGTTTTTTTTTAAAGATCTTATTTATTTATTTGACAGAGAGATAGAGAACACAAGTAGGCAGAGGGAGAGGGAGAAGCAGGCTCCCCGCAGAGCGGGGAGCCCGATGCGGGACTCGATCCCAGGATTCTGGGATCATGACCTGAGCCGAAGGCAGCCGCTTAACCGACTGAGCCACCCAGGCGCCCTGTTTTTAGAGTTCTATGAAAGTAGGAACTATACCATCTGTCCACTCCTCTATCTCTGAGACCTAGCCCACCTCCCCAAAATTTGTTGAATGCATAAATGTATGAGTGGTCAACAATTACAGTTGCTAGAGGAGGAGGGAGGGCTGAAAAGTGCCCAAGGATTTAGCAACATAAAGGTCTTTGATGTCAGGGTGCCTGGGCGGCTCAGTCGGTTAAGGGACCAACTCTTGATTACAGCTCAGGTCATGATCTCACGGTTGTGAGATCGAGCCCCACATGGCTCTGCACAGGGCATGGAGCCTGCTTAAGATTCTCTCTCCCCCCCGACCCCCGACCCCCTCCTTCCGAATATATAAGTAAATAGTCTTTGATGTCATTGCTGGGACCATCAGTAGAGATATGAAGGCAAAAGCCATGCTGCAGAAGTTTGAGGATGAATGGGAGGTGAGGAAATGAAAACAGGAGTTATGGATAACTCCATAAGAAAATATGGCTGAAAAGAGTATATAGGATATTTGAGAGAGAAAATAGCGAGGATTTTTTTTAAGTTCTATACTCATACATTTTCTTTAGACTATCGTTTTAGCAATACCATGAGTTCAATGATCGTTCCTACCCATAGGACTCCTAAATCTCTATCTCTAGCCTTGACCTATTCCCAACTTCACCACCAAATTGCTAACCACACTGATGGAAAATTCTATATTTATGGCCCACCCAAAGTAAACAAATCATGAGATGAGGGAGGAGGGGTGTTGAAAAACCTGGTTCCAGTTACAACTCCCAGAAATCAGAGGTGCATTTTGTAAAAGAGATGCCACCAGAAAAATCTTTATTAAAGGACTTTGATTCATATCCCTCTCCTATTCAAAACCTTTTAACAGCTCCTCAATGCCTAATAAGTCCAAACCTATCCTTCCCTCAGTTTCTCCCATCTCTATGCTCTTTAGTTTTCTCATCTGTAAAATGGGGAAATATTTATATCCAATCATAATATTGTTATAAGGATGAAGGGAATTAATAATACGTAAAGCACTGGGGCGCCTGGGTGGCTCAGTTGGTTGAGCTACTGCCTTCGGCTCAGGTCATGATCCTGGAGTCCCGGGATCGAGTCCCGCATCGGGCTCCCTGCTCGGC